CCCCCCAAAATTTTGTAGGAACATGAGATGCAAAAAGGAGGCTTCTAGCCACCTCAACCACATGGTGGTTCTTCCTTTCTGCCACTCCACTCTGTTGTGGAGTTTAGGAACAAGAACTCTGATGGATAACCCCAAAGGCATCAAGGTAAGATGAAAGGTTCTTCTCAAAATATTCCTTAGTGTTATCCGATCGAAGTATTTTGATCCTAGCGTTAAACTGGGTAAGAATGAGTTCATGAAACTTTTGCACAATAGTTGGTACTTCATCCCAGGATCTCATTAGGTAAATCCAAGTATAGTAAGAGAAATCATCAATAAAGAGGATAAAATACTTGTTATCCCCCATAGCAGGTAAATGATATGGCCCCCACACATCAGATGAAAGAAGAAATAGATCTTTTATTACTCATTGGATAAGATTGTCTACAATGTTTTGTAAGTTCACAAGAGTCATAACGAAGACTCGAAAGAGATATTCCCTTAACGTCAGGGAAACAAATGACTCAAAGCAGAAAAAGATAAATGACCAAAACGTAAATGACATAACATGACTTGATCAATAGACTTTGACAAAACGGACTCCAAAGCAACTCCATTAGGTGGTCCAAGACTTCTATTAGGCATGTCCAGCAGATATATTCCATTCGCCTCATGGCCACTTCCAATCATCCTCTGACATTTCAGGTCCTGAAAAACACAATGAGTAGGAAACAAGGTTATGCTACAATTTATGGATTTAGTCAAGTTACTAACAGATAACAAGTTGGTATTAAGCTTGGGGACATGGAGAACAAAGGCTAAAACAAGAGTGTTAGAAGCTTTGACATCTCCTTTGCCAGAGGGGAGTAAGAGACCCATCAACAAGGGATATCTTCTCTTTACCAGAGGGGAGCTGATATGAACAAAAGAGGTTAGGTATACTAGTCATATGGTCTGATGCACTAGAATCAATAATCCAAGGGATTTTATGATTACCTGAAACAATAGCATGATTTGTAGAAGCATGAGTACCAAATTGAGCAAATGCTGATGAGGAGGTGTTGTTTGAAGGGTTGGATGCTGCAACAATGGTCTCCAAGTGATTAAGTAACTTCCCATACCTTTCAAACTCAGCTTTTACTGCTACCAACTACTCCATAGACGATTTTTCTTCACTTTCTCTATTTTCACCTTTAGGCACTGTAGCAACATTTGCAGTTTTAGGCTTCCTTGTCTGACCACTCTTGAAGTTGCTGCTACTGTTGTTCCAAAACCTGTCCGGGAGAAGTTCTGGATGGAGTTTCCAACTAGTGTCCTTAGTATGCTTTGGTTTCTTGCAATATTCACATATCACTTCCTTCTTCTCAGTCGGCCCTTTCGGCTTTATCCCAACATTTGCAAAGTGTTCTGAAGGTGGTTCCTGTAATTGTACTTGTCGCCTACTCCCTTTACTGCTCACCATAGAGTATGCTTAAGCAAGAGTGACTTCATCCTTGGCCAAATGTTTTGCCTAATAATGTTGAACTCAAGGTTGAGTCCTGTAACAAACTCAAACACCTTGTTTCGTTCTACCAATTTTCTAAATGTCTTTGCATCCTTGGTGCTCTCCCATACAACTGTCCCCATAACATCAATCTCCTGCCACAATGATTTCAACATGGAAAAGTAAACTGCTACACTCTTTTCCCCTTGTCTCAGATTGTTCACATCACTCTTCAACTTATTGGCTCCCGAAACATTCAACTTCTGTGAATATGTTTCAGTGGCATTGTCTCAATCTCCATGGCAGAAGTCATCCAGAGGTAATGTTGGCTTATGTGGGGGCTGTGTAGAGTTGACTAAACACCCAGTCGTTGTGTAGTTCTCCTGCATCCATTTTTCATATGTAGGGTCTGTCGCTATGGGGTTCTCCTTACTGCTTGTGAGATACCCCAGTTTACCTCTACTACAAACATAAATCTGTATAGACTGTGCCCATGCTAGATAATTGGTTCCATCTAGTTTAATTGTAGTCACTCCACTAAAAAAGGAATCTACCGGACCAGCCCTGGATATCAGAATCTGCTTCGTTTCACTTCTAGATTGCTCCATTAATCAAACGAAAATAAAAAACTGGTTTTTCACTCTTTATGGGCCCAACTGAGGTCAGCTTAGTACCAAATAGTTCAAAAACTAGGGTTTCACTGCACCCGGCTCAATGGGTGAAAGAGAGAAAAGGAGGCCTCTCCTACCAGAGCTTCCCAACCTTCTTCAAACCTCAACCACCCCCTTCTAGGAATCAAAAGAGACCTCCCAAGCCCTAAGCGCCACACCCAATCCTTCTCCTTATCCTGTAACTTGAAATCTC